TGGATGCAATATAAGAGTTTAGGGTTTTGAGATTCTTTTAAGTTCTTTATGTTTTTGTTCTTTGCATGTCACACATGTATATTCTGATACGTTGAAGTTGGATGATTGTTCTTAGTTGAAACTTTTAAGCAAAACTAAGTATTATTCTCACTCATGAGATTTTAAGCAAAGAGTTGAGTATTATATTTGAAGTGTAATCTTCTATTTGGTTCTTTGGTTTTTGTCACGGTTTTGTGACAAAGTTTATCACTGAGGTGATTGGTAGGAAGTGAGAGGGGATCTCATATCTAGAGGGTTTTAGGTAGAAGTTGCACAAGGTAGAGATTAGGTGATAAGTTATAAACTAGGATTGGTTTAGCTTTAACTAATACTGTCTTAGTGGATTTCTTTCCTGACTTGGTAGCCCCTAGGGTAGGTGACGTTGCACCAAATTGGATTAACAATTGATTGTATTGTTTATCTGTTTCTGCATAATCTCTTGTTTTAACAAGTGTTTTCTGTCAGCAGATGATGTTATAACATCTATCTTGACATTTTGTTGGTGTTGACATCTGTTTTAAAGTGCCAAAATTTCAAGCTCCTTATATAGCGTAATTCTTCTAAGCATTTCTTCATGGATTTTTAATTTGATTTCGTACGGATTGATGCAAAATATGTTGGATATTATTTGTGTCTTAAATATCTCCAACAAGATATAATTTGTTTTAATTTAAATTTGAATTAATCTTCACTCAATTGTCAAATAAATCACCTAATCAAATAGTTAAATCAATAACAAAAAAAATCTTTAACAAAATTTCTGCAGAACATACTCCAAAATGCAACCGTCTTGCATGTTGAGCAAAGGCTCAGATATCGTACCACATGTTAAGACTTCGTGTCCCTCATGTGTCCCTTTTACAATTCCATACAACTTAAGCAAGTTAGATCAACTTGAACACTTTAAACACTTCTCAATATTGTTGTTTTACAAAAATGCAATCAATCCAAAGGATCAATTTAAAAAGAACTTCAATATCCCTCTTTGGCAAATTGTGGCAAAACAACTATTCAAAATAAGCACTTTGTTCAGATCAGAACAAGTGACAACCAGTAGGATCACTAGACTTCATTAGAGCATTCAATTAGCAGAAGCAACATTCTTTTATTTATCAGAGTTAAGCACAACAGCATCAGAAGTCAGTAGCATCAAGTATGAGCATCCAGATGCTTACACTTAATTCATTCAGTTGTTCCAAACTAAACGGTCTATCCAATCCACCATGCAATCATTCACATATTTGGTCATGCATGAACTTAGTTAGCACATAATTAGTACTAAACATATACAAGTTCCAGATGCCTTGCTCGATGCTCCAACATGGAGTACAACATTAGTACTTCTTGATTAGTCAGTACTAAACAATTTCCAAGTTTACTTGCATATAGCAGATACGCCACTTCTTATCATTACTCCTTTTTTTTCATGATTGGGCAAATTGTTAGTTCTTCAAAGAAGACAACATGCATAGAAGATAACATACACAACCTGAACATGAAAAAAACACCAGAATTAGCATCAAAATATGCACAACCATTATTACACAACTCAGACTCAAGATATCCATAATACAAGGGCCAACAAAAAAAACCTTAATCATATATTTATCCTTTACATTTCATGTATTTGACCCAGTCTTCATCAGCCTCTGAGCTTGAATCGGTCTCTTCCTGAGTTTGAACCGATCTCTTCTTCAATGACTTCTTTTTGGTCACAAATTTCCTTCCTGTTACAATTGCCACCCTAGATGACCCAACAAATAGTAACTCCACTATCCGCATAAAAGGTAGACTCAACTCTCTTATTTTGTTGTCTACTCTTATGATAGATGGACTCTTCCTACTATAATTTCCATAATTTTGACTCATCTTGATATCAATTTACACTTAATGAAAAAACAAAATAAGATACGGATAAATTATTTTTACTTGTAACAGAGATTTTAAAAAAGTAAAATTTATTTTATTTCACGTGTAACAAACTCAAAAAGATAAAATTTACACACAATTTATAATAAACTATCTCATGACAAAAATTTACACATAATTTGAATCCTTTAAAAGAAATCATCATAAAAATTAAAATTAAAAGACAAGTACCTAAGTAAAACGGCCAAACTATTACAATACATGCATGGTTAAAAGATGAAGAAATAGCTAATTTACACTTGTACTAATTAATTACTATTACTATATTAAATGATAATTAATTTGAATAAAAAAATGAAAAGAAAAAGTAAATAAAAAGATGACACGTTGAGAAAGTTGGTTGCTAGGTTATAGTGGTATGTGGCAGAATAATATGAAATAACACTTGAAGAGTATAGTAGTTAGTTAGTCAATAATCACAAGTCACAATAAACACACCCCAAAACCTAGCTGATCACAAACAATAATTAACAAAATATTTCTCAATTCTTCTTTTGCATGACACTGCATTCTCTCTCTTTTTCATTTCCTTCATGAATCCAATACGTTCTAAAGAAGAAGATACGTAAGTACAATATTTCTACGTATTATTCTTTCATTTTTCTTCTTAAACTGTTCTTAAATTTGTGTAGTTTCCGAATGTATATGTATGATTACCTCAAGAAACGAGGATTGCACTACACTGCTGAAGTTTTCCGAATGGAAGGCCAAGTTACTTCAAAACCTCCCATTGGTATATCTTCATGTAACTATTATTATTGCTATAATCTTTCTTTCTTGTTTTGTTTCAATTCTGTGGCTGATTTTAACTGTGTTTTCAGAAATTAATCAAAATCCGCATGGTTTCTTGCATGACTTTTGGAGCTCACTCCATGATGACTTGTACAACCCTAGACTAAAAATGCCACCACCCTCCAATAAGGTGATTGATTATGCCTAAACAAAATGCTCGTTCATATTTTTGTTATTATGGTTCTTGGTTTTGATTCATCATAGCGTAATTAACCATATGTCATTTGCCCAATTCAGGTCCAATATGTAGATTCGAAAAGGGATACTATATCTCAAATACGTCGAGATGGATATTCTATGCAACTCATTGGAAGTAAGATTCTATTCTCTACATATTCTTTATTGTGTTTGATCTTGTATTTCAGAAGAGTTGGAAATTATATGGATGAAACTAATTATGTTTGTTTTAATTTCTAATACTAGATTTTAAGAGCGCCAACTCGCTTTCTTCCTGCGATTTTTCGTCAGACGGAAAGGTTTTGGTGAGTGGTGGGTTTGAGAAAAAGGTGAATTATCTATTTCATCAATTTTCCAATTCTATTTGTGTGTCTATGTGTACAATATGTAACTATATCTATATGATTTAATGCTTATTATGGTTTATAATTAAGTACAGGTTTTCATTTGCTACATGGATACTTGTGAATGTATTAATACATCAGAGTCACATTTAGCTCCCATCTCAGAAGTTAGATTTCAACCAAGAACAACTATATTTGCAACTTCTTCTCCTGATAGAACAGTAAAATTATGGGATTCAAAAAAAGTGAGAGTCTCTTCTTTTCATTTCATGTTTGTTTACTACCTCTAATTTTGTAACATGAGCATTCGTTCCGTTATATAGCCCGGAACCGCGTTGTTTGATCTTGTCGGACATAAGGGTATGGTGAAGTCATTGGATTTCCATCCAAATGAAGCACTTCTTTGCTCATCTGATAGCTTTGATGTGATTGAAGTATGGGATCTCGTTAAGTGTATTCGGCTGAAAAACTTTTTGGTGAGTAAGTCTCGATAATATGAAGATTAGTTAGCGAATTCAAAATTACTTCATGAATAACTTCGTTAATAATGGCTTAGCAACGAATGAATTTCAGGCGGGTGGGCAGAAAATAAGATTTCAACCTGTATTTGGGAAGTTTTTGGCAGCTGCGAATGGAAATGCCATCACCATACTTGATATTCAGACTTGGAAGGTTAAAAACCGTTTTCAAGTGAGGTTCACTTATAAATAGTTGATTGAAATATGAATTGTGTGTAACTGTGTATCATAGCATCCATGGCTGACTAAATATTAATGATCTCTACAAGGGACACAGCAAGGAAATCCGCTCGATATGTTGGGACACACAGGGACAAAGGATTGCTTCTGTTACTGAAGATTGCGCACGTGTCTGGTCGATTGCGGTGCGCGGACAATGCCTTCACGAGTATAAATCAAATGGGAAGAGGTTTCAATCCATCCTATTTCATCCTAGATACCCTAATGTACTAGTTATTGGTGCATTTCAGGTAATTCGACTGTCCTGTTGTGCTGTTTTATTGATTGTTGTCTTCTGTTTTCATGTGTTTATTATGCCTTTGAATATGAAAACTTTTCTGTTTCAAGTACTCTAATCTGACATTGATGTCTTTGACTGTTATCTGTTATAAACAAAGAAAGTTATCTCATAAATTGCAGGACATTGAATTGTGGATTCCTGAGACTGAGCAAGTATATCTTATTCCTGCCCATGCTAAGGCCACAGTTACTGGACTAGCAGCTTGTGCGCAAAATCAATTCATTGCATCATGTAGCAGTGATAGTACTGTGAAAATATGGAAATGAAGTTCCGGTTAATGTCTTTGTTCCTTCGTGTAAATATTCTTCCCTGATTAAGTTTTTAGGAAATTATTCGATAATCTTTGTGCAAACGCAATTTTTTTGTAGCTAGTCATATAGTGAAAGAATTGTTATATTTTGCGGCAGATTTACGGTAGATATGTAATGTTTGAAACTTCTAGTCTTTGTTTCTTGATGTTAATTTTCATGATTTTGTATTAATGAATAAATTGGAGAATCATAGAAAAAAGATCAAACAAGCAAATGAATAATGTAATTCAGATTGAACAAACAGCATTTGAAGTTGTTTACTTTCCAAGAAACTTTCAAAAAAAAATTGGAATACTTTCTGAGGTACTAACACCAGTTCTACATGACAATGATTGTTGAATGAAAATTACATTGGCTTCACAAATTTCATTTACTTCCATAACTCTTCTATAGGAATCCCACGCTCTTCGGAGACCTGAGTGTACTGCTTCATTTTCTGCATTGCAGCTACAGTTGCTCTGGCATTGTTGAGTGGATTGTCACTTCCTAGTTGTTTCCCCAAAGCATTCTCAACACCTGCCATTTCAAGAACAATTCTCACAGATCCACCAGCAATAACTCCAGAACCGGAAAAAGCAGGTCTAAGCATCACTTTTGCTGCTCCATACTCTCCGTCTGATCTGGAAAAACATTACACAACGTAAAATTTTTAGAAGCTATTTAAAATGAGAGCAATTGAAAATTTGCATCTCAAAATTCATATCAAACTAATATGCTATAATGCTAGCATCTTAGAACACAAGGGAATGAATCAAATGTATTGATATGATGATTCTTTTTTGAAATATAAGTTCCATCTCGAACCACGAAGAAATTCGGCTCTTGGTTCCAAATTCCTATTTGAGTTAAGGAAATCTAACAGTTACAGGATAAAGCTCAATATAGTTTTCTTAAATGATCATAAAATAAGTTACTTAGACAATGATCAGTAAAAGCTCCTTCAGCTGCAATGCACTTTCATGAATGGGCACCAAACCCATATGCAGTGATTTATGGTTAGTAAAAGTTACTTAGACAATGATCAGTAAAAGTTACTTCAGCATAATGAATCGTCCATAAAGTAGCTTCCGCTACAAGCACAACATCCTATTTATATGGTGGCCAGCCAAAAATCTATCATACAAATAGGGAAATTCAGCATATAGCAGAAACATGGTGGTACAATAGGTGCTGCTGCCCAATGGTGCCTAGCACAAAACCCACCATGCCATAGCGCGATGCCAGGAATTTGACAACACTGTGAGACAGAGAACCTAATCACACAAGATAGGCTTCCATCATGTTCAAGAAGAATTAGCTCTTAGTTTTGTTGCACCTCAATGTTGAAGTACAAAAAGTTATCAAGAATGGCTTATTATATTGTGAATTGATTTCCTGAATTCGACATGAAGTACCTAATAATTCCTATATACAGATATAAAAATGAAACTCTGGTACAAGATGAATTATCAATAATCTTATTCAAGGTCACACCCGAAGTCCAAGAAGAATGTTAAGAACCCCTAAAAGAAAAATGAATACTTGACAGAAACAAGCAACGATTCAAAACAATTTTACTGATCCATTGTGAATTGGAGACATAATTTGCTTCAAAGGTTTCTCCTTCACAATAAATCTTCCCTTTCCTTTTGACTATCATGCCATACACGCAAAATATTCCCCGACTTTCTAAATGACTAATCTCTAAAAGAAAATCAAACCGAAAACCCAATTTTTCATCAATAAGGTTCAAATTCAAAACCTTACATCAAGAATTCAATTCTACACAGATCAACTTAATGCTGGCCATACTAAACTATAAGCAAGACCTATACAACAACAACAACAACAACAACAACAACAAGAAGCAAGCAAGCCTTATCCCAGTAAGTGGGATCGGCTACATGAATCAAGCTTGGTCAAAATGTACTATCAAGAATCATATTTCTATCGAAATAGTTAATCTGGAGATAAAAAAAACAAAATTGAGATTGAAAAAATGGTTACCTATGAGGAAAAGTGAAGTTCTTAGTCAAGGGAACTTTAATAAGATTCCTCCTACCATTAATAGCAGCTTTCTGAATAGCAGACACAACTTCCTTAGCCTTCCCAACACCAATACCAACTTGTCCTTTCCTATCACCAACAACAACAATAGCCCTAAAGCTCATTCGTTTCCCTCCTTTAACAACCTTACTAACCCTGTTCACTTGCACAACTCTTTCTTGAAACCCATCTCTAAGCTTCTCTGTCTTCCGTCGAGTACGAAGCCCACTCGCCTTCCTCGTCTTTGAATCCATCGCATATACATCATTTCCAAGCACACTCACCCCACTGTACGCCGTCCCGTAAATATCTTCATATGCAGCAGTAATTTCATCTTTTTCTTCGTCTGGTCCCTCGAATATGGAAGGTGGGGCGATGAAGCCTTCCGGGACTTCGGGTGGGTTGACCGGAAGAATTTCTTCGGAGACGAATGAGTTGTCGTCGAAGGGGGTGGCTTTCGTGGTGAAGGAGAGAGTGGTGGTTTTGGTGAGGAGAGGGAATGTCAGTTTGTTGGTTGTGGGGAGGAGAGAGAAACGAGAGGAACGGAAAGAGAGAGAAGAGAGAGAATTGAGAGCTGAGGAATGTGCAGAAGCCATTGAATTGAAGAGATGAAGATGATTCCTCACTCTCAGAGGAAACTATTGTTGAACGGTTGTTGTTGATGACATCAAATGAAAAGATGGATAAAAGGGATACAAAAAATTTCCAGAGATAAGGTTTTTGGTTTTAGATAGGTTGTTTTACTCATTTTATTATAATGTTTTTTTTTTTTTTTTTTTAAAGTTATATTCACAATCACATCACTTTGGATCACCTCCATCAATTTTCTCTCAAAGTTGTGTTTGTTTTAAGAATTAAATTTTAATTTTGCAAATATTACTCCTAGAAATATTATTACTAGAAACATTATTTACATTTATATATTTCGTGAGTAGTTTCATTTTTTAAAGATATTTATAAAATATATTTATTTTAAATTTTAAAATAAATAATAAATAAATTAAAATATTTGATAATGAGAAATTATAGATGGTTAATGTTCTGGACTGGGCCCGACTGGCCCAATAGCATTGATAAAGGCCCAATCCAAACGGACTTGCCAGGGGTCACGCCGACCAAAGGGTCACAGTCGTGTCCGACGTACTCCCTGGGGCTACTTGCTCGACCTCCTACTGTCCAGCTCGACCTCACCTCGAGCACCCCTCCTAGGGCAGACTCAGTCCACTGCACCCTCACCTGGGTCCCGAAAAGACCGCATCCTCGTCCGCCCGCACTTCACGCAGCACATCCAGGAAGGAGACCACGTGCGGGTCTCCACTACACACGTAGAACCTGGCAGTTCCTTCATTGGGCCAAACCTGCCCGGCCAAATGAAGGGACCTTGGCCCAGCGCCGGGGGCTATAAATATCCTCTGTTCCCAGAGGGTCAGGTATTCATCATTCTACCCATACTCTTACTATTGCCTGCTCGTGCTCTTACTCACTTTAGCATCGGAGTGTCTTGCAGGTACCCCCCCACCTCGTTCAAAACTTCAGCTCGGAGCCAGCCGTGACGGTCCAAGTCTGATCAGGTTAGATCAGTGGCGTCGTCTGTGGGAAATTAGCTTCCCCGTCTTGCAAACTCAAAGACCAAAGCTCAAATTCAACTACCGCTGTCATGGCTGATCAAGCTCGTGATGAGCAGAACATCCGCGTCGCCGACACCAACAACGGCACCGCGGACAAAAACGGACATCTTGATAACGCCGGCAACCCCGACCATAACACCGTGCCTGCGTCGACTGCTTCCGGGAGTCCCACCTTTCGGGACAGAGCTACTGCATCATCTTCCTCGCTCCCACCACCACTCGAAGACGACCCGGCGGCCCTCGCGCACTACAGAGCCGCCCGGTTCCAGGAAGTCCCCGTCCCCTCCGGGGCGGATGCCACAACCCAAGCGCTGTTCGCAGCAATTAATCAAACGAACCATCTCATCTTCGCCCAAGGAGAGAGACTAAAGGCGCTTGAAGACGAGCGAAGGCCCCCGAGGAGGCATCGGAGACCACATACTCCCCCTCCTCGAGTGACTGAAGCTCGACACCCATCTCCCCTGCGGAGACATTACAGGGAGGCCTCTCGAAGCCAATCTCCCCGGCCAAAACAGAAACGGCCTTATCTGGAGAGGCAACCCCTCATTCAAGTCGGAGAACCTTCTCGTGACCCGGCGAGACAAGAAACAAGACGCTCCGGAGACGGGCGTGTAAAGTTCAACAACCGAGCATCCCGCTCAAGAGAGACACAGCACGACCTGGACCGTCGTGCCAGGCAATATTACAGGTCCCCATCTCTGTCTCCGAAGAGAAGCGACGAGGACGACCCCCGCGGTCCCCTGTCGCAGGCTATTATGGAAGCACCCATCCCCCCGGGAATGGAGAAGCCCCCACACTTGAAGGAGTACGATGGAGTCGCGGACCCGGTCGACCACATAGACGGGTTCGAGGCTATGCTTCATTATCACAACGTCGGGGGCCCCATCAAGTGCCGTCTATTCCCAACGACTCTCAGGAAGGCGGCAATGGACTGGTACAAAGGACTCGCCCCGGGCTCAATCACCTCGTGGCAGAACCTGAAGAACCAGTTCATCAGTTCCTTCACAGCTTCTCGGCGGCATCCGAAGACCGAGGCGGCTCTCGAGGCCATCATCCAAAGACAGGATGAAACCTTGAGGGAATTCATCAACCGCTTCAACCGGGAAGCAATACAGGTCCCCTGCGCGAACCATATGAAGAGATATTTGCTGGAGAGAGGGCTCCTCCCCGGCACGGAATTCAGAAAGGCTGTGGGTATCGAGCCACCTCGGACATTCGATGCCCTCCTCGAAAAAGCCCGAGCGTACATGGACTACGAGGAGAGGGAAGCGGCCAACAGAGCCCGAGATCCCAGGACTCGTGGTCCCAACAGCAGCTCGCGCCAAGAAGCTCCATCTCGACGAACCGGGGAGAAAAGGAAGAAAGACAGACCCTGGGAAGTCTGGGAACAAAGAGGACCATCGGGGCGTTTCACCGAGTACACTCCGCTCACAGCTTCCCGCGAGCGCATCCTGGCGGAGTGTGCCAGCACTGATTTCAAGGACGGCGGTGTCAAACGTCCCCGACCTGCTCCTGCCAAGCCCGAAGCAGACAAAAACAAATACTGTCAGTACCATAGGAGCCATGGTCACCTGACTGAGGATTGCGTCTACCTCAAGGACGCCATTGAAACCCTCATCAAGGGAGGGAGGCTCGCGCAGTACCGGCGAAGCGACGCTCCCCATCGTGACGCCCAAGAAACCAGGGAGCCAGAAGAAGACGCCCGACCATCTGACGAGTCGGTGCCCATCCAAACTGCCTTCTCTGTGACCAGGCCCGAGGATTTCGACTTCCCCGAGCACCTACAAGAGCCACTTACAACGCACAACAGGTGGGAATACTTCCCCTCCGCCCTAGTCATCAACGGCGGCGGGTTCAACGACTTGACCATCAATTCAGCCAAGAGGAAGCTGGAAGAACTGGTCGACGCGGCTCCCCCGCAAACAGTGACGTTCGAAAGGGTGAAGGGCAGGTCAGAACCCATCACCTTCTACTTGGAAGAACTCCCCGGCGGAGCCCCGAACGCGGTCATCCCCTTACTGATAAGGGCAAGAATGGGCAATTTTGATGTACATCGCATCCTGGTCGACGAAGGGAGTTCCGTCGACGTCATGTACAACCAACTGTTCCGAACCCTTCAGCTGGACGACTCACATCTCTCGCCGTATGTGGGTTCGGACTTACAAGGTTTCAACGGCCCGACCTCCAAACCTTGGGGATATGTCGATCTTCTGGTTACGTTCGGCGAGGGGACGGATACGAGACAGGTCAAAGTACGCTTCCTCGTCATCGACTACCCGTCTCTGTACAACTGCATCTTGGGAAGACCGACACTGGCAGAACTGACAGCGGTGCCCTCGACCGTCCACCTGAAGATGAAGTTCTACACCAAGAGGGCACGGGTAGCTACTATCCAAGGAGACCTAGTCGCTGCCCGCAGGTGCTTCAACGCCGCTTCTAAGGGACGTGATACTGTCGACATAGGGACCAGACCCGCCAAAAGGACAAGACAGGAGCTCGACAGGAAAGCATCCCCCGAGGAAGAAGTCCAGAAAGCCCCACCAAAGGTCGATTCTATAGCTCTGGACACTCGCTTCGACCAGGACGAGCCATCCAGCGGCGAGCAAATCCCACTCCGACCAATACCGGACGCGGATTTTGAACTTGTCCCCCTCGGCACAGATCCGACCAAGGGAGTGAAGATTGGCAAAGACCTCCCCGACTTGGCCAGGAAGCAAATCAAGGCCTGTTTACGCGAGAATGCTGATCTGTTCGCTTGGAGCGCCGCGGAGATGCCCGGACTCGACCCTGAGGTCGCCTGTCACCACCTCGCCATTGATCCAGCCGCTAGGGCCGTAGTACAACGTAGGCGTAGGCAGTCTCCAGAAAAAACGGAGGCTGCTGAAAAAGCTGTAAAAGACCTCCTAGAGGCAAACTTTATTTCTGAAGCCCGGTATTCCACCTGGCTGTCAAATGTTGTACTCGTCAAAAAGAATAATGGAAAATGGAGGATGTGCGTTGATTATACCGATCTCAACCGGGCTTTCCCGAAAGATGCTTTTCCTTTGCCTAACATAGATATGCTGGTCGACAACTCGGCCGGCTACAAAACATTGTCGTTCATGGACGCCTACTCGGGCTATAACCAAATCCCAATGGCCCTGGGCGACAAGCACTGCACGACATTCATGACCAGCTCGGGCAACTATTACTACAACGTAATGCCCTTCGGACTGAAAAATGTCGGGGCAACTTACCAGCGCATGATGAACAAAGTTTTCAACAAACAGATCAGCGACATGCTCGAGGTATATATGGACGACATGATCGTCAAGTCCCGGGCAGACACCGACCACGCAACACACCTCAAGACAGTCTTTGCCCAAGCAAGACAATGTAAAATGAGGTTCAACCCCGAGAAATGTACGTTCGGGGTTAAGGCAGGAAAATTCCTTGGATTCTATCTAACAGAACGGGGAATCAAAGCCAACCCCGACAAATGCCGGGCGTTCTCCGACCTCCCAACACCAACGTCGAAAAAGTCGATACAAATCATCAACGGCATGCTTACGTCGCTATCCCGCTTCGTCGCGAGATCCGCTCAGCACGCCCTCCCTTTCTTCAAACTCCTTCGAAAGGAAGCAGCCTTCGAATGGAATGAGGAATGCGAGCAGGCACTACGCCACCTAAAGCAAAGTCTATCTCAGCCGCCCGTGCTATCTCGACCGGCCGACGGGGAGCCACTGTACTTGTACTTGGCCGTTTCGAACGAAGCCATCAGTGCGACCCTCGTCCGCGAGACCACCGACGGACAGAAGCCCGTCTACTTCACGAGCAAAGCCCTGCAAGGACCCGAAAGCAGATACCAACAGATAGAAAAGGTGGCCCTGGCCCTCGTCAATGCGACGAGGAGGCTCAGACATTATTTCCTGGCCCACACGATCATCGTGCGAACCGACCAACCGGTGAGGCAACTCCTGGGTCGACCT